CACTCACACACACACACACACACACACATGCACACACACACACACACACACACACACACACACACACACATGCACACACACACACACACACGCAACACACACACATACACACAAACACACACACATATACAAACACACACACACACACACACACACACACACACACACACACACGCGCACACACACACACCCAGCGCATCTATAGTGCTGCTGCCGGTGAGAGAGACACACACACACACACACACACACACACACACACACACATATATTCTACATTCATATATATACACCGTGTTTTCAGTTGACCGTTTTAATAGTGTGTATTAGTGTGTATCACTCTCTCTGATGCATGCAGGTGTGTGTGTTTTTCTTTCCCTAATGTGTGTGTGTGTGCAGCAGTGGAGCGGTGCGGGTGCAGCAGTGGTGCGCTCCTCCTCCTCCAGCTCCTCGGTGTGGTCCGTGTTCAGCTCTCTGCTCTTCCCTCTGCTGGCCGTCTGGAGGTTCATCAGTGCTCTGCTGTTCAGCCCTACACAGACACACACTCCTGCTGCAGGAACACACACCAGAGCATTCCCCCCCGCAGCCACCGGCTCCAGCACAGACCCACAGAGGTAACACACACACACACACACACACACACTCCAACTGTAACACTTTGGCTGTTCACATTTCACTCCTGATTAATCTTTGTCTTGATATTTTCCTAATTTCCTCATGATTTCACCTGATTATTCTCCTGATTTCTCCAGATTTAACCTGATTATTCTCCTGATTTTTTCCTGATTTCACCTGATTTTTATCCTGATTTCACCTGATTATTCTCCTGATTTCCCCCCCTGATTTCACCTGATTTTTATCATGATTTCACCTGATTGTTTTCCTGATTTCACCTGAATATTCTCCTGATTTCCCCCCCCTGATTTCACCTGATTTTTATCATGATTTCACCTGATTGTTCTCCTGATTTCACCTGAATATTCTCCTGATTTTTTCCCCCTGATTTCACCTGATTTTTATCATGATTTCACCTGATTGTTCTCCTGATTTCACCTGTATATTCTCCTGATTTTTTTTCCTGATTTCACCTGATTTTTTATCATGATTTCACCTGATTATTCTCCTGATTTCTCCAGATTTCACCTGATTATTCTCCTGATTTCTCCAGATTTAACCTGATTATTCTCCTGATTTTTTCCTGATTTCACCTGATTTTTATCCTGATTTCACCTGATTATTCTCCTGATTTCCCCCCCTGATTTCACCTGATTTTTATCATGATTTCACCTGATTGTTTTCCTGATTTCACCTGAATATTCTCCTGATTTCCCCCCCTGATTTCACCTGATTTTTATCATGATTTCACCTGATTGTTCTCCTGATTTCACCTGAATATTCTCCTGATTTTTTCCCTGATTTCACCTGATTATTCTCTTGATTTCTCCTGATTTCACCTTATATTCTCCTGATTTTTTTAATCCTTATTTCACCTGATTATTCTCCTGATTTCATCAGATTATTCTCCTGATTTCAGCTGATTATTCTCCTGATTTCAGCTGATTATTCTCCAGATTTCACCTGATTTTCTCCTGATTTCACCTGATTATTCTCCTGATTTTTTTCTTCTTATTTCACCTGATTATTCTCCTGATTTCACCTGATTATTCTCCTGATTTCACCTGATTATTCCCCTGATTTCAGCTGATTGTTCTCCTGATTTCAGCTGATTATTCTTCTGATTTCACCTGATTATTCTCCTGATTTCAGCTGATTATTCTCCTGATTTCACCTGATTATTCTCCTGATTTCAGCTGATTATTCTCCTGATTTCAGCTGATTATTCTCCTGATTTCAGCTGATTTTTCTCCTGATTTCACCTGATTATTCTCCTGATTTTTTTCTTCTTATTTCACCTGATTATTCTCCTGATTTCACCTGATTATTCCCCTGATTTCAGCTGATTGTTCTCCTGATTTCAGCTGATTATTCTGATTTCACCTGATTATTTTCCTGATTTCACCTGATTAATCTCCTGATTTCAGCTGATTATTCTCCAGATTTCACCTGATTATTCTCCTGATTTCACCTGATTATTCTGCTGATTTCTCCAGATTTTTCTCTTGATTTCCTCCTGATATTGTCCTGATTGTCCTCTTGTTCTGCTGCAGGGATGCGGTCCGCAAGCGTGTGCTGGAGAAGAGACCCGAGGATTCAAGAAAGATGGTAAGATCTACCGCCTGCGCACGCCAGAAGACAGCGAGGACGACAACAACACGTGGAACGGGAACTCCACACAGCAGATGTAGAGCAGTGTGTGTGTGTGTGTGTGTGCGTGTGTGTGTTCTCCGTCCCCCTTCTGCATGCGTCGCTCTAATATAAACAGGGTGTGAGCATGGCTTGGCGGACTGCAGAGTGTGTGTGTGTGTGTGTGTGTGTGTGTGTGTGTCAGCGGAGCGCAGACGCATCTTTAACTGTAGAATCCCAGCAGATGATGAGTCCAGCGTCGCCGCCGTCTGACCTGCTCCACCAGAGCCTGATTCTCTGATAGGAAACTGCTCATCTGCGCGCTCGGCTTCCTGTTCTGCTCATCAGGTCCTGTTTTCTAACTCCTATTAAAATATTTTGGGTTCCTTTCACTTCTGTACTGCATTATTGACTCCTAGAGAGTGTTTGTGTGTGTGCGTGTGTGTGTGAGTGTGTGTTTTTAAATTATGCATCACATATCAGCTTAGTGTGAGAAATGATTCAACAGCAGAATCAACACGAGACTCAGCACCACAGATCAGACTTCACATACATACATCAGTAGGAAACTAGATTTTGACATGTAATGCACACATCAGCAGTGTGTGTGTGTGTGTGTGTGTGTGTGTGTGTGCGTCTGAGCGCTGTATTTCTGCATTTAACTTTGTGTGTTGTCGTGTAAAGTGAAAACTCTCTCCTGTATCTGACGGTTTCCTACAGTTGGCAGATGTGCATTACAGATTTAAGTTGTTCCACTGATTATGAATGTCATATTGAGATTAAACTGAGCGCTCCCGCAGCAGTGCTGGCAGAAATGATCATTTAAATGTTGTTTATTCATCAGAGCGTGTTCATCTGTACAGTAATGTAATCTGAGCCAGCGCTAAAGCAAAAGCGTCATGTGAAATGTGTTCAGTGCATTCACACACACTTCATTAGGGTTTACAATCTGTGTGCCATTAAATGGTTTTGAAGAGTCCACATGACGAACAAATCATTTAACTGAATCTTCTTAGTGAATCAGTCGAGTGAGTCGTCTGCGAGCTGATATAATCACATCATAATCATCATCAGTAAATGAGCATCATGAAGCGTCAGAGCCTGCAGCATCTGCAGATATCAGCAGATCAATATATCCACACCTCAACACTACAGTGATGATCAATAATCCAGAACAACACCTGAAGAGTTTATGAATCTTTATTTAACAGACCTGAGATGACAATAATAATCAGTTTTAATGAGTCGGTTTATCAAACGTTATCTAAACACAGCAGCATCTGAGTCACATCAGCGGACGGGATCAATATCCACCCACTGTAAAGGCACTGCTCAGTTCACACATTATTATACATGTATATCTTTAATTAAAGGGTCAGTTCACCCAGAAAATCAACATTTACTCTCAACTTTGTCTATATGGACTTGAATGTGATGAGGTATTCAGGATAGGCTCCGGCATCGCAGAACACCACGAATATGAAGGGTTTCTGCAGGCTGTCGACGGCGCAGTCGTGGAGTCCGGCCTGCGGGTCTGTGGCGTCCAGCGGCTCTGGCTCCTTCATGCCCGCGCGGCTCTTACACATCGCACCCGTCACCACCCGTGCCCGATACACACACCGCAGCCCCGACCCGTCCACACTCGAGTACTGGTCCTGACATGAGTACCAGGCGTCCCGGGCGAAGTATGTGCCGTCCCCGTGAGCCACAGCTGCCAACACACACACACACACACACACACCTGTCAGCCAATAGAAACAAACTCAACAGCACATAATATTAGACTAGATGTTCTTCAAGACACTAGTGTTCAGCTTACAGTGACATGTAAAGGCTTCACTAGGGTAATTAGGGTAAAGTTAGGGTAATTAGGCAAGTCATTGTATAACAGTGGTTTGTTCTGGAGACAATCCAACACTAATATTGCTGAAGGGGTGAATAATATTGAGCTTAACATGACTTTAACACTATTAAAAACTGCTTTTATTCTATATTCTAGCCCAAATAAAACACATCAGACTTTCTCCAGAAGAACAGATATTAGAGGAAACACTGAGAACAACTGCTGAATCTGCTCATCATCTGGGAAACACTGGAAAGCAGAATTGACAGGAGTGTGAATAGTTCTGACTCCTGCTGCAGGAGTGGAGCAGACGTGAACACACACATCAGAAGTGTAACGCACCGTTCCTCCCGCAGAAGCTGCGGTTGAAGCCGTTCTTGTTGATCTTGTGGCTGATCTCTCTGGTGGTGCCGTGGTAAAGCAGACGCTCGTTGCTCTGGGTGGGGTATTTCTTATCCACGGCCTGCTTCAGCACGCTGTATCTCTGCCACTGAGACTGACTCTGAACCCTGTCAATCTGACACACACACACACACACACACACACACACACACACACACACACACACACACACACACACACAGATCATCAATACAGCGGTCCGCCATCACAGCAGCGGGGCTCTTCATCAGGACTGCTCGTATTCAGAACATGTCGGTTCATGATCAGTGAAGCTGTACTGCTCTGTGCCGTATCTACAGAACCCAGAGACCTGCACACTGCACATAAGGGGATGTGTGTTTCACAAGCTCTATTCCAGACACTGAAATCAGGGAATCTGACCTGTTGTTCAGTTAAAGAGCCGCTATTCTGCATTATAAAGCGTCATCTTTGGGTTTGGGGGTCTCCAGCAACAGTCATGAAAAAACTCTGTCATGGTCTTATAATCTGCATTTACTTTCTCCTCATTATCCCAGCGACTCCCATATGATTCATTCAGTGATTTATTTTCCCAAACCCCTCCTCAGCGCGAAGCTAATCTAGCGGTGATTGAACCGAAAACCCAATCTGTTGCGATTCGAGACAGAGTGAAATGCCCAGCAGGGCTTATCACGGGAGTCTCCCGTATTTCAGACCCATCCGCCACCCTCCCATATTGTTACTTATCCCAGAAAACTCCCTTAATTTTAACCACCCCCAATACTCAGCATTTTGGTACAGTCTGTGAACCCCCCGGGTTGCCAACATTGGTATAGGATCACAGCAGCTGCCCGAACATGCTTCATGGCAGTAACTAACAACCCAGTACACAGCAGCCGGTTCTCAACAGTGTTACTCAGACACCTGACCCGAACCCAATACACACATAATTACACGTCAACAGCCCATCATCCATATCAAACCCATGGACAGAGCGTCAATCCCAGTAGAGGAACCTGACCGCTCCTGCACTGATCCCAGCACAGCTGAACTCTGCATCAGGGGATCAGATCTGTCAGTCTGGAGCGGTTTACCTGCTGCACCTGTACAGGACGCACGCCGGGGTGCTTGCTGGACCGCACGAACTCTGCCTCTATCCTCTGATATTCCTCTGAATGGCTCTGCAGGGTGACCACTGCCCAATCACGCCCGTCCATTTTGCTCCATGTTGGAGGAGGATGAATGATGGCTGAGGAACAGACGAGCAGAGATACTGATCAACTGCAGCGAGGTGAAGCACACACACACACACACACACACACACACACACACACACACACACACACACACACACACACACACACACACACACACACACACACAGCGCTGCTAAACACACATGATTATGCTGGAGACCGGTGAGCACTGACAGTACAGTGGGAAACACCAACATGAGAGGTGGATGGTTCCAGGTTTCCAGCACTCCTCAGCATCTCTTCTGTTGTGTTCAGCAGAATCAGGAGCGTCTGCCTGAATGCCAGAGCGTTTACTGTAGGCTGAACTGCCCCGTCTGGAGATCTGTGAGTCTGCACATCATCTATAGCGAGTGTCTATAGACTGATTTGACGCGGCCGCCATTTTCAAAAGTGAAATCGAGGCTGTGGTGGGAAGAAACCCGGAGATATCATTGGGAGTTGCATAGGAATGTTGTGTAGCTGGCTGTATATCTTATCAGCGAAGAGAAAGTGACACAAATTTATCATTTCTCCGCCTTCCGGGTGACCCGTAGGTCTGTTCTGAATGAATGGTGAATATAATAAGGGATGTCAGAGCTCATTTTCAGCTAAGTTAGTTAAGGGAAATGGCACTAGTTAGCTAACGTTTTCTTTCCTAAACACACATTTTAGATGCTATTCATCAAACTCGAGTTAATAAACTGATTCTTTCACTATATGAGACTGTCACGATACTGAATTAAAAGAAAAAACAGCGATTTCCCGCGAACATTAAGGCACTGTTGATGGCTTTCTTAAAACAGCTCTGATTTGCTATTGTGGTCACGTGTTCAACAGAAATGATTGTGATTGGCCGAGAAGGTCATCAGTTCACCACTGTTTACCGAGCACATACACAACACAGACAGAGGAGCGATCTGCTTGTTGATTCGACAAAACTTTAAGGCAAGGCTGCTTCGCGCTCCAGTCTCCGTGTATCTGTGTTTGCACTGGGTGAAGAGCAGTAAGCTGAGAGCAAACCAAACACAGAGACACGGATACTGAAACGCTCAGCAGCCGTGAAGATCAGTCGAGTCATCCGCGCTCAGCGGCGCTTCCATGTTAGCGGGAAACAACCGGGTTTAAAACTTCAGTACCGGGACAACACTATTACAGACAACACGAGGGTGAGCTGCAGAGGACTGCAGTGATTATCACTCACCGGGTTACACAGGCTGAAGCAGGAAAGCTCCTCACGGCGTTTAACAAGTGCCATGAGCTGAAGCCCAGGAGGACACTTGAGCGCATCACTGAGATTGTGATGTTTGATGCTAAATTGCTTTTAAATGTTTGAAATAAACTTACTGAATAATATTAAAGTGATGGTTACACCATTTCTGCATTTTGAAATCTCAGCAACAGCTGGAGGTTTATAGTACACGGCATGTTACTGCAATGTTTACAGTGCTGGTCCTATACTCCCGGGTTTCTTCCCACCGCAGCCTCGCTTTGGTTCTTTAAAATGGCGGCAGCGTGAAATAAGCGTATAGCGCTGCTGTCCACGTCTGCTCTGAGGTGACGCCGCTGTTTGTGATTGTTCGCCCTCTAGTGGTGAATCTCCCGTCTGCAGCCTGTGTTTACTGATCATCTGCCTGATCATGTGTGCAGCAGCAACACACAAGCGCTGGGATGAGGATGATGAGCATTCACACACACACCTCTGAGTTTACACGCTGGATGCTGAGTGTTTGTGTGCGCGCAAGTGTGTTGAAGTGTGAGAGTGTGCGTAAATGTGTGTGTATGTGCATGTGTGTTAATGTGTGTGTGTGTACTCGCAAGTGCTTTTGTGAGTGTGTGTCTGTGTGTATGTCTGTGTCTGTCTGTGTGTGTGTGTGTGTGTGTGTGTGTTTGTCTGTCTGTGTGTGTGTGTTTGTCTGTGTGTCTGTCTGTGTGTGTGTGTTTGTCTGTCCGTGTGTTTGTCTGTCTTTGTGTGTATGTGTGTTTGTGTGTGTGTGTTTGTGTCTGTGTGTGTGTGTGTGTGTGTGTATGTGTGTGTGTGTTTGTCTGTCTGTGTGTGTGTGTGTGTGTGTGTTTGTCTGTCTGTGTGTGTGTGTGTGTGTGTGTGTGTTTGTCTGTCCGTGTGTTTG